AAGAAATACGACAGATACGACGTCGAAAAGCAGCGAGACCAGAATATCTCTGGCGACGATGCCTTCGCCCGCCAATACGCCGCTATTGAAGCCGACATTGAATCCGCTCTTAAGGTAGCTCCGATCTGGCTAATGTTTTGAGCTTCTTCTTTTATTTTGGTTGAGATTTGTTAGGTTTAAGCTTGCTTTATGATTAGGTTAGTTGTGAATTTGGAGTGTCAGTCTTCTCTGCCTTTTGCTTAATTGAGACTTGTTCAGTAAGAATTAAGGTTTGTGACCTCAATTTGAATAATGTTTATTTTGATTTAATTTAGAAAGCAGAGCTCGTTTCGAAGGAGAAAAGTAAGGCGTCTGCTGTCGCTGTGAATGCTGAGATTCGTCGAACCAAGGCCCGATTGCTTGAGGAGGTCCCTAAGCTGCAGAGATTGGCTATTAAGAAGGTTAACCTTTTCCTTTTTAAAAGTTACAGGACTATATTTAAAAGTTTGTTTTAAACGTGAGCTCTTTTAAATCCTAATTCATTCTTTATGATGTTATATAGCACAAGCAGAGTCTGTATTTTATGATAATCTATTTCATTTTACACATTAAGGGGTATTGGGATTGTGTTTTTGTGGACTTGAGAATACAGTAGTTTGATTTTCAGTTTAATAATTTTGGAATTTGCTTTCAGGTTAAAGGGATTTCAACTGAAGAGATGGCTGCTCGTAATGATCTGGTCCTTGCATTGCCAGACAGGATTCAAGCTATACCTGATGGAACTGCTGCTCCTAAACAAACTGGAGGTTGGATGTCTTCAGCACCTTCAGCTTCTCGTACCGAAATTAAGTTTGACTCAGGTGATTCCTAACTTCATTAAAATCGCTTTTTTGTTTTATTGAAATTGTATATATAGAGAAGCTTCATTTTTATCTATTTACCACCTTGTTCTGTCTTGTCAATCTTTTGGTTTATCTTCCTTTATATCATTTTCAGTAAAATTGAAACCCTGATGTGTTGTTAGCTTTTCCTATTTCTTTTTGTTGTTTTGGGGAGGGTAGGTCTGGTGGAATGTTATTTTGTTTTAAGATGGCCGCTTCAATCATAAGATGAAAAGTTAGGTGAAAAATGGATCAAGAACAATGACTTGGTTCAAAGATAAACCAGAAGAATTTGGGAGATAAAGAGGCATAAATAGAAGTAATAGCCGGAAACCCAGAAAATGTAAGAGAGAGAGGCATGCGAATGCTATCTCAAATATATTTAAAACTATTGTACTTGATTTTTTTATTGCTTCAATAATAATAGAGCGAGGAGGGTGCTATTATGCATGCTCATAACTTTTAAGTATAAAACCACTCTTTTTCTTTATTATTATTATTATTATTATTAACATCTGACGGTTAGTGCTGGGAAAATTTTCAATCACAGTTTGTAATGCATTATTTATCAATAACTCTTTCTATGATCTTTGAAATTATTTTCTTGGAAGATCTTATGCTTTGTGAATTGTGATACTTACATATTCATATTTGTCATAGATGGACGATTTGATAATGAATACTTTCAAGAATCTGAGCAGTCAAGCCAATTTAGGCAGGAGTATGAAATGCGGAGAATGAAGCAGGCAAGTCAAACATATGCAGATGCTATTATTTATGATTGCATAGACCACATTAATTGAGCTATGATTAACTTCTATATCAAATTGACATCCATGCAGGACCAAGGTTTGGATATGATTTCAGAAGGTTTGGATACTTTAAAGAACATGGCTCATGATATGAATGAGGTAAAGCTGTTTTCATCGTCATATGAAACTATTCAAAATGATGTAATGTAACATTTATGGTTTCTACTTAACTGCATCCTCTGATGTGTGCAGGAATTGGATAGGCAAGTTCCTTTGATGGATGAAATTGACACCAAGGTTAACATTGTGATTTTCATGTTATTGTACATATTAGTAACCGCTTAAGGATTAGCAACTTACCCTGTACATTCTCGTCCTTACACATTTACAGGTGGACAAAGCAGCGTCTGATCTTAAGAATACGAATGTCAGACTTAAAGATACTGTCACTCAGGTGATTAGATATATCTTCATTAATTGTAGATTCTCATCCATTTTCATCTTTCTTTTCTGGATCTGGCTTTAGTTTTTGGTTCTACTCAGTTGAGGTCCAGCCGGAATTTCTGCATTGATATTGTCTTGTTGTGCATAGTTCTGGGAATTGCTGCCTATTTGTACAAGTAAGCTTCAAACTCATGGCTTTTGTAAAGAGAAAAAAAATACAAAAACTCTGCATCAGAAGTTTCTCATCTAATGCTCTAGTGATCACAAATGTGTTCCTATCATACTTGGACTCAGGTATGTGTCTGATATGGGCAATTTAAAAGAACTTTCCAACGTATTTAGAGGCCCTTGAAGTGGAGATTGATACCCTTATATTGATATCCAAATATTACCAGACATGAGTACTTCAAGGAAAGAAAGAGAGTCAGCTACATAATATTGTTTTATATAATTGAATATAAATAGACATATAGTTTCATTTTAATCGAACTCCTCATACTGTGTGCTTCAGTTATGTTTGGGGCACATGCTTGGATTTTGGTTTCTTTAAGGTTAAAATACTAAAAAGGCACTTAAACTTTGTCATATAAGGGCTTATACTGATGTTACTGATGTTACACTCAAATAAGCCCTTATACTGATGTTACACTCAAATAAGCCCTTAAGGCTTAAACTCTAGTTTGTACCTAAATGAGCCCTTAATTGCATATAAATAAGACGGACTTTCAATTATACCTCAATAAACACTTAACAGGAACCAACAAATCATTTGATATAAGTGTTTATTTAAGTAAAAATCAAAAGAATAGGAGCTTATTTGGTACGATAAAAGTATAACGGCTTATATAACTAAAGTAAAATAGTTTGAGGTCCTTTCTAATTTAGCCTTTTTTTAGGTGGAAATTCTATTGTTGGATTAACTCATTTGTTCTTGTATTTCTTTTGTTTTTATCATTGAGAAGCCGTCCTTAATCTTAAATGTTCTTCATTTGCAGTGTTCTGAAGAAATGAAGCGTTCCATCATGTGCTGCCGGCTTTTGTTGCATCGTCTTTCATCTTGAGGGGTTTTTGCTGAACTGTTCGATCTTTTCTTTCGTCATTGGTGACGGTGGCAAAATGTGAGTTTATATTTCTATATAAATTCGAGATAACCCTAAATGTTTATATATCATGTTCATGTGATAATGATATACTTCTGCTTTCATTGCTCTTATGCACTTGATCCAGATATGGGCATTTTTAACGTTATTAAAATAATCATAGAGATTCCAAATAGTTGTAGTTGCTAATATAGCACCACTATATAGCTCGTTTGTGTATTACTGCATCCAGATACGGTCAATGCTTAACGTTATTTTGGCTTACATGTGAAGTGCGGTGTTTTGGCAAGCAATGCTGTTAAGAACTAAAGTATTATTGAGGTTAGGTTAGCATGCAACCAAGGAATAAGAGGAAGTAGAAGTTAGGCTCATACCTACCAGGTAGGATCTGGGTCTAAATCGTTACAGAAAGGTGACAGTCCCTAAGAACATGAACAATTTCCTCCTCACTATGACCATATTCATGGCAAGACATCTCTGAAGTAAGGCCATGACGATAGCATTCACTATTTGTAAAGAGGCGACCCCCCTAAAATTTTCCAAATAAAGTGATAATTACGTTGAAGTCCCTCAAAGTTCCAAGCAAATGAAACTCATCAAGTGGTCTCAGTGAGAGAGTGTTATTCTTGTCAGATGTTTTGGATTCGAATAATTGCATTTGCAGGATGTATGTATGTTGTCAATGATTAAGAAATACTTTGAATATATATTATCTTTTAATCATTTCATACAATTCAAAAAAAAAAACCTAAACAAACGAACATAACCCATTCTTACGTACGGATATGTTGAATTTGATTGTACATGCCCTATTCGAGTCCCACTTACAAGTTAGTAGGTTTGGACCTGCTTCGACACTTGAGTAGGTACATTTGAAATTTGTTTAAGAAATTATTATCAAGATACCTCCTTAAGAAATCTTTGTTCCAGTCAACATCATTATGAACCTTATATTTGAGAAAATCATCATTGTCATCTACAGCTAGCATATCAACCATATTTACCATGGGTGCCATACTTGAAACCCACAAGTCATACCAAAACCAAATGGTACCATCATCTGTCACAGACCAACACATACTCTCGAGCAAGAGATGCCAAACACGACCGATATTCAAATAAATGGACATTTAGAGATTGCAATGTTGGTAAAATTATTATTGCAAAATAGGCACGTTGGCAATAATTAGAAAAAATAATTAAATAAAATACAAAAGAAATCAATTTAGCATGTTTTGGCGAAAATCATTGTCTTATAAGTGATTTTTCCCTAATTGATGTAATTATAAAATAAAGATTTCCGTTAGAGTTAACACAATACTTCTATATTTATATACGAGCGAATAAGATGGAATTAAATTAAGATTATTCTTTTCGGAAGAGGAAAAAAATGACGAGGGAAAAGATAAATATAGAAAACATATTTTTTATGTTTAAAAAAACATAAAATAAAATATTAAGAGTTAAAGTGATTTAAAAAAAATAATAAGAGTTAAAACATCTACTTTACTCGTAATAATATATATTTTTTAAACTAAAGACAACCTTAATAAATTTTGGCCCAAAAGTAAGGAAGTGTTGGATTAAGGACGTCTAGGAAAGTATTAGCTTGGGCCAGTCCCTAGTACAGAAAAATATATTCGACGACGTGTCAATCTTCTATTGGTTAGAAAATCCTACGAAGACATTGGTCCCGCCATAAAAATCCACGTGGGTTCCCTCAATTGGTTGAAACAACGTGGAATGACGTACAATTTCTCGGATCACCAATCATTTCTTCAAATCTAGAAAGACTTGACACAAATTTGTAAATTAAGCACAATTCATTTCCTTTTTACTAACAAATATTGTGAGTTTTCTAATATCCCCAAAGCAAAAAATTACCAAATTAACGTCAAGAAGGCATTCCTACGTAAATCTATTGATTCGTAGAAACCGAGGAAGAACAATGTTGAAGTGTTTGAGTTTGAGGTGGGCATTTGATTCGATGGCATGGAAAGGATTGGTCTACACAATTTTTATACTCAATTTCGTATTAATTTGTCAGCTTTTGCTTCTTCAGCCGCTCGTTTCTGCTTTGGGTTAGTCAACTATTTATTTGTGTTTTTGGTGGATTCCCATTAATTTGATGCAGGTTTGATAATTTGATCTATGGTTTTGTTGGACAAAATTAGTGGGGTTTTGATGTAAATGCGGGTTGTATAATTTCATTGATTACCTGGGTTTTGTTTGAGTATGATTAAATGAAGTTTTTGGGTCAGAGATTTTGAGAAAGTTGAAGTCTTGGAAGTGAAAGGGAAAGTTAAAGGAAAAAGCTATAGTCCATTTTTATATATGAATTGTTTGTTTTCTGTGATATCTTCTTCATTTGAATAGTCAATTAGTCATTTTGTACTTTATTTATTTCTTCTGCATTGCATTCTTCATTTATCCAACTTGTGTAGAATTGTGAATTTTGTGAAAGTCCAACCCTGTTATCCTACAGAATGAAAATCATGTTTTGGATCTTAATTAGGTCTGGACGGATGCTTTTCTCATATTTGATCGTTTTTCATCATGTTTGGTCTTTAGCCATTAACCTTCTCTGGTTGACGGAGATGGATTAGAATTATCTAATTGAATAGTTCGGCTTGAAATACCTGCATAGCCGCCCAATGTCTCTGTATTAATGCATTTTTATTTTATTTTTGTATGAGCTTTAATGTCGGAGCAACTGCATAGCTGGTGCATGCTCTTTGAATATTAGAATTGGTATTCTTGGAGTTTTAATAGTTTGATTGCAACTATTGGTTAGCAAATGCATACACTTCACTGTTTCTTTGCATAACATTTCCACTTGAATGTGAAGATGGAAACACAGGAAAAGTGGCTGAGTTATTTGAGAGAGTTTCACAGAGTATAAAAGTGAAGCGTTACAGTGAGGCACTCGATGATCTTAATGCTGCTATTGAGGCAGATCCAGCACTTTCAGAAGCATATTTACGCCGTGCATCTCTTCTGCGTCAGCTATGCCGGTACTGTTGAATAATAGGAAGTTTTGATGTGTGTGTGTGTGTATATATATATTTGTAATCTTTCATTCACCACTCTTTTTTCCCCTTTTCACTTTTCCTTAAGAATGGCAAAATTATTACGAAATATGGTTGTATTGATATATCCTAAGGTCTTTGATGCCATTTTTCTAATACTCTCGAAAATAAATGTGGAAGTGGAACAAATGTTTTTGTAAATTTTATGGTTCCTTTGCACCTTGAGTGTAAACTTTTTCCATTATTTTCTCTCACTCCATCTCACCATAACTTTTGATAGGAAAATCATATGAGGTGTTTTTTCAATGTAGATATGAGGAATCTGAGAAAAGCTACAAAAAGTTTCTGGAACTAAAACCTGGAAATTCTATTGCCGAAAAGGAACTGTCCCAGTTGCAACAGGCTCAAAGTGCTTTGGTAACAGCTTTCAGTTTACTTGAATCTGAGGACTATACGAAAGCTATTGATTATGTGGAAAAAGTTGTCCTAGTGTTTTCTCCAGCATGCTCAAAGGTAGCACAGATTTCACATTTGCATTTTATTTTTCTGAATTATAGCGATCTCTATAAACTCCAACATGCATCATTTGCTGCAGGCTAAGGTCCTAAAGGTGAAGCTGCTATTAGCAGCTAAAGATTATTCTAGTGTTATATCTGAAACTGGGTTCATTCTCAAGGAAGATGAGAATAATCTTGAGGCCTTACTCCTTCGTGGTCGTGCATACTACTATTTAGCAGATCATGATGTTGCCCAAAGGTTTGATTACGTTTTTCTTGGAAAAAAGTATTACGATGCTGTTGGGAAACATTCGAAATTGGGATATAGATATAATAAATTATCTTTCCAGGCATTACCAGAAAGGTCTTCGCCTCGACCCAGAGCACAGTGAACTGAAGAAAGCATATTTTGGATTGAAAAATTTACTGAAGAAGACTAAAAGTGTAAGCCCATCAAACATCTTGAGTTCTCCCTCCTTTTTTGTCTTGTATGAGATCAGTGTAGCCCTACAGATGCAAGGTAGTTTAGCATTGGCCGTACTTTTATGTTTTTTTAAACTTAAGAGATGCTGATATCATCCAGTATGTATCCTTATTCTGTCAAGATATTTGAACTCATGGAATGTGTAGGCCGAAGATAACGTTAATAAGGGTAAGCTGCGCCTGGCAGTTGAGGACTATAAAGCGGCACTTGCATTGGACCCAAATCATCTCGCTCATAATGTGCATCTTCACCTTGGATTGTGTAAGGTCTTGGTTAAACTCGGAAGAGGGAAGGATGCTTTAAGTAGTTGCTCTGAGGCACTCAACATTGATGGGGATCTTATTGAAGCTTTAGTACAGGTCTGCTATAGATTTTAATCATTTGATTCGCTTTGTATAACTTGCCACTTCAATAGGTTGAACATAATTTCATAATTCTCGGTGTTTAACTGCATCTGCATGTGTCAGAGGGGTGAGGCGAAGCTTTTAACAGAGGACTGGGAAGGTGCCGTTGAAGACCTAAAATCAGCAGCTGAAAAATCTCCTCAGGTTAGTCGTAGTATTTACTTCGGATGACATTTGTCTCTATTAAAATTTTCTTCCCCCTGGAAAATAGTAATCAGTTGCACATTCTGATTCACGAGAGCCAAAACTTGGTTTGCAGGATATGAATATCCGTGAAGTGCTTATGAGGGCTGAGAAAGCTTTGAAGATAAGCAAACGCAAAGACTGGTACAAAATTCTGGGTGTTTCAAAGACTGCTTCGGTTGCCGAAATAAAACGTGCATATAAGAAACTTGCTTTGCAATGGCACCCGGATAAGAATGTTGATAATAGAGAAGAAGCGGAGGCACAATTCCGAGAAATAGCTGCTGCATATGAGGTATGATGCATTAATATTGAACTTTCTTTATCATCTTTATGCTGTTTTAACTTTCAACTTCTGTTGACATAACTTTGTGATCATTAATACTTTTTAATCAATCCCATTTATTCTTTACATAAAAATGAATGAAATGTCAATAGCATATTGCGTCTAACATGTTGCTTTTCGCTTACAGGTTCTTGGAGATGAGGAAAAGAGAGCAAGGTATGACAGAGGAGAAGACATTGAAGATATGGGTATGGGCGGTGGCGGTTTCAACCCATTTGGCAGTGGTGGTGGCGGACAGCATTTCACATTTACATTTGAAGGAGGTTTTCCTGGTGGCTTTGGTGGTGGTGACGGTGGCGGTGGTTTCGGGTTCAACTTTTGATACCTTCACAAAATGGTTATAATAGTGCATTTTTCGTTTTCGAGCCCTAACACGCATATGACTAGAAGACTGACATCTTTCAAGTAACTTAAACCATTAAAATCGGTTTCTTAGATGAACAATTTATCCTCTTCACAAAGTTTTGTTCCATTTTATTTCATTTTAAAGCTTGTATTAGTTGACGATAAGGAATTGAAGAGCCTCCAGTTTCTTTAAGGGTTCAATCCAGAAAGTTAGTATTTATGGTAATTGAATGATTATTGAAACGTATTCTTGGAACTGAAATCAACAAAAAAAAAGGAGCTTTCTCCATGTAGTATTAATAAAACCAACAATAAACAAGCACGAGAAGCCTGTATAAAATGGGATGTAATATATACAGCAGAAAGTTTTCATTTTATACCATTGTTACACCTTATAGATGTGTTAATTTAATTGGCATTCCCACTTTCTAAAGCTCTCATTTCAGTTTCATTAGAGTGAGTATCCGTTTGTGGCACTGTTTCTGGTGGTCGATCCGACCGCGGTGCCTCTTGAGAACTAAGTGGTTGATTTGGTTCTGCACGCCGCGTTCTCCACACATTCGGAACTTCGTAAATAATAGAGGTTCCAAACATTGTGCCACCAAAACCAACAAATGCTGAGAGAAGAACAGAGAGAACAGCCTGTATGTGGAGCTGTAGATCACACAAAAATAACAGGATGTATTTTCAATTACACGGAAGGCTCTATATCTAACTAATGCAGGCTATAATCAAAGACTTCTAGATTCTAACTGTTCGACAAATTGCATTATCGAGAACGAGTATTTCTCTTACCAATGAGAAGAAAAGATGTGCAGAAAGTACCACCAGTGCGTATTGAATCGTAGCATAAATCCATACGTATTTTCTCCTCACTGAAAAGAGAAATGGGGCCAGTAAGACAGATAATGAAATTTACAGGAACGAGACTGTCGAAAGAAAGTTACCCATTGTTGTTGATGTCATGGATGCAAGTAGACCCAATATACAGGAGAAAGGAAGAGAGATGGCAATTGCGCCAGACTTCATTTTCGAAACCTGGGTACATAATGACTTTAGGAGCAGGTAAAAGCTCGAAAGGAAGGAAGCACTTCCGTATTAGCTAAACTTACCAGAAGCTGCTCAAGAAAACAAAAGTAAGCAAGCATACTAACAATGACAAGAATGGGAACATCCTGCCAGACCCTGCAAAAAATACCTTTATGTTACAAAATCATCGAAGGTAATGTTGAACCAAAATACATAACTTCCACAGTCTAGAGAAGTAATTTAGTATTTTACATTCCAAAGGAGTTATAAATGAAGGTAATACGGATTACAGTTATCGTTTGTAGCAAACCGCAGAGATGGACACCGTATACTTGCCTGTATATAGGACCTTCAACCCCAGTTCCTCTCATGTTATGAGCTTGAACATTTTGAACTCGTAAAAGAGTAACAGGTAGGTTTCGGACCTCTTGCTTGCACACGTCGCAAGTTTTATTACCTTTGATGCTAAACCATTTGACAGCACATTCTTGGTGGGCAAGGGCAAGTTCTCCTTTGCAGCTACATTCCATCTTGAGGGTCTCAGCACCTTCTCCCAGTTCGGTCAAACAGATTCGACAAACAGCTTCTTCTTCAGGAATATCTTCACCGCCATCATTGTTCCCATCTGAACAATAAGACTAACATAAGACATAGGTTGGTTATCACACACATAAAAACGAAATCAGAAGCTATAAAACCATCTTAGCATTCAAAGTTCATCCCAACTGCAATTCAAGCCTAACATATTATTAATAAATAATTCGAATTGCCAGCAGATGCAATAATCGAGATTTGTCCCAAAGAAAATAGAAAGCAATAGTGAAAATTTAGAGGTTTTTTCTTCCTCTGAAGTTTACATCCTTCACTCTTTCTTTAATTCTAAATTCTAATTTATTCAAAAGGAAAATCTTTCTAAGAGCAAGTAAAGAAGATCTGCCGATTAAAATTACCAGTATCACTATTGGTAATTATGTTTGATGTTGTTACAACAGTTCCCTTGACTGCTTGTGGAGTTGTAGGAATTACACGAAATACAGTGCCTAAAGAATCCAACTGTGTTATGCTTCCATCTTTGTTGAGCACAGGAACTGAACGTGAACGATGGATGGGTGGTCCGGCAGCTCCTCCTTTCTGTAAAGTGAGCAATTCTGTAAGAACCAAGTAGAAAATAGTATGACACACTGCAGGGGTAAAGGTCGAAATGCAAATTCATGCGACAATTAAATTATTGAGGCAATGAGCATAAAATTTTACTGCAGTCCTTAGAAGAGATATTGACACCAAAATTTCTCAAATTAAAGAACATAAGTCTTAAAAAGAAATTCTAAGTTCCCCGGATTATGTTCTGTATACGAAATCAAGGAACTCTTCAAACTGATAGGTGCATCAAACCTTTACATGTGTGGTTGTAGCTAGTGCATCGATACTAAGATATAAATGCATCAGATATAGATGTGAATGCCAATGAATATAATGAGCATGATGAATTGACGGCTTTGTAAAAGTACAACATAAATAGTTGTCAGTGACACAAAGGTAGTAGCTAATGCATCGATACTAATGTGTTAAAACACTTGCTGCAGAATTTAGTTGGCTAATCACCTGCCCACCATGCATGGACTCTGGGTTTGAATGCGCGGTTGGTGTACCGGGTAACGATGATGTATTTTTAGCCCTCAGTGTGAAAATCTTTGAGAGGGAAAACGTCCTCGGGATGCGAGGCTTTTCTTGTATATCTGCTGATGAGCCTCCCAGTGCTAAGATGGCAGCCTTCTCAATCTCCAAATTGGTGTTGCGGTATTTGAAACTCAACTTCGGAAGTAAGCTTTTTAAGGATGATTTACTTTTCGGTGACAAATTCACTGGAGAATCATCGAATCTGGAAAAGATAGGACTAGGCATGGGTGAAAAGTTGACTCTTTTAGGAGTAGTTGTTGGTGTTAAGGCCATATCTATTCTCACGAATTCCTCCCTTGCAGCCTCCGGACTTCTCGATGGTATCTCTAAGATAAGGTCGTCCCAACATCGGTGCTGATCAACCGGTGTCTCTTCGGTTATCTCGGTTGAATCCCCAAACTGAAAAAAGGATCAGACCATTAAGTGTAAAACAAAAGTTGAAGTGTCTAATCAATCTTCAAACGACAGAATCTTGGGCTCCTTAGCATCTTTAGTGTGACGACTAACAAAACATTACCAACTAAAATCAACATACAATCTCAAATGAAAACAAAGAGTAAACATCAATGAATAGATTTTCATTCTTTAAGACAAAATGATTGTGAATTGCAAGTTCTAATCTTTATGATTGCTTAGCGTTTGATAAAATTCCAGAAAAAGCTCTATATGCCTTGCAATTATACATTATCTTTTTCCTATAATTTGCAGACTGCAGCAAAGGCCAAACCAAGCCTCATAAAGAAACCTTTTTATGCGCCTGAAATAAAGGGGAAAATGGTTCCATAAAGTTCGTATAAATGATCTTTAGAAAGCTCAAGGTTGACGTTGAACCTCGAGGCTTAGTCCTTAAAAAGTAGCTTTTTCTTTTTTCAATCACAATAAATTAAAAGAGAGAAAAAAAATCACAAATAAAAAAAAGAAAGGAAAAGCAGGAGAAGAAATTCATGACCTTTTAAGCAATAAGGAATTCCCCGTCAAACCAGTTGAAGCAATAAACAGCTAAAGTTTCAAAATTGACCCAAAAAAAGCTATGATTTTTAACAAGCCACAAGAGGGGAAAAAACTGAAAAAAGAAACAAAAAGAAAGTACCCTTTGAAGTGGAGGATCAACAGTGTTGTTGCTGCTGCTGCTTGGTCCTTCACCATTCTTGAACACATGCTCACCTTCATTTTCCATGTTTCAGATTCAAACTCTTTTTTCAGATGATGGGCGTTTATAGTTAACTTCAAATATGGATTTCTGGCATGAAAAGAAACTGAATTTCGTAGTTATGTCTGAAGAACAGGTTGACAGAAGATAAACTGCCAGAGATTATATGAGCAACTGAGGTGGCCATCTAAGGCTAAAGAGGGACAAGGGTTTGGTATTATTTTTCAAAGTATAATATATTTTAATTTAAAATAAAAAAATTGATGTTGTTACTAATTTTTTTTTATTCATTGTTTGATGATGAAAGGGAGGCCAAGTAACAAATTTGGCTAAACGTTTTGGTAAGGTGGCTTTGTCGTTAGAATGAATTAGAATTTTATGTTAAAAGGTAAACTTTTAAAATTTCAAAAGATAACGAATATATAAAGTTTTAAATTGGTGAAAATATATAAAATAAAATTAAAATATATAATAATTTAAATTTTTAGGGAATGATTGTCTCTACTGTCCCCTCAATTCATCTCTATTTATCATAAGATTTTGATTCTACATGATGAATAATTATCTTATGCCTTAATATTTATATTATATTTAATATTATTATTTTATTATATATATATTATTCTAAAATTATGTTATATAATCTGTATATTTTAGTTTTAAATTTTTAAAATCCAAATAATCTGACAATCTTAAAGTTTAAACTAAAACCATAATCTGACAATTTAAAATTTAATTAATAAACCCTAAATTCTTAAATTCTAAGTATAACGTGGGACTCGAATAAATTAATTTGTGTAAGTAAAAGTTACATCGTTTATGTATTAAAAACAATTCTTGTATTTATTTATTTATTTATTTTATTATATTGTTATTTTATTAAAAAATATATTATATTCAAATAAATTTTGATTAGTTATATATTATATAAATTATAAAATTTTCTTGAATATTTAGTTGACTTTTAATTTTTGAGTATTTTAAAAGAATAGGTATAAATATATTTTATCTATTTTGTTTTCAATTTTAATTTTCGTAAGTTGACTTGATGTAATTTTTAAACATGCACTTGCAATTAAAGAATCAATCTTAGTGAGTATTGTATAGTTTTGTATAGTTGGCTCATATAATTTCTTTAAAATGTATTATCTAAAAAAATATGATTTTTATTTTTGAATTGCAACATTATTCTAAAGAAAATTAAAGAAAAGATATAAATTATTTTCTGTAATCCTAAATATTGTTAAATTTTATCA